CATAAAAGCGGAATCAAAAAAAAAATGTTTCGGAATGACAAGATACGTATCTGAGAAACGAATTAAAGCTAACATACCATTACATTTAAAGCCATTACCCTATTGCCCTATTATCACCTTATTATTACCCTATTACCATAGAACTTTTGATTAAAAATTTTGATGTTTGTAAAGAAACGCAAAAGGAACATACTTGTACATTAGATGGGCGTATAATATCTTTGTTAGCAAATAGAGGGGCTTATATCCGAGGGGGGGGGGGTTAATGCCGGGGGGGCTTCAACATGTGATTTTACGGTATTCATATTCTCGGTAGTGGACTGGAACCAGGGTGCAGTGGAGGTACATGCGGGGGTATATCATTAAAAACAAACTTACAAGTAAGTCATTCACATTCGAAAAGATTCCCCACAGCAAGCTACTTCCAGTCCTATAACGAGAATATGACTATGGTCTCTTTGAACTTGGTTATTTCAAATTCTCCATCACTTAGAACTCAATTAACCATTTCCCTTGGTGTTGTCCTTCACTTGTTTACTATTGGGTATTTCAAACTCTTGCTATTTTGTACTGTTTTTCATTTCTCCTGAGGGTTTGAAATAGCGGAGTTCAACTGTAAATATGTTGAAATATGTCTGAATAAATCAATATACAAATCTAAAAAGAAAAAAAAAATAAACAAAGAATAGACTGTCATTCATCATCAGTCCTTGTCGCACCATGGGATGCAAAAGGCCTTAAAGACTGAGATTATCACATGAAAGTCAAGTTGTCATGGATCAAACATTGAAAAAATTTGGCAAGCAAAGCACTTTTATCCTGCTTGCTTTGTCATATGCTTTTTTTTTCCCACTCTATAAGTATACTCCCCTAGAAGACCTACAGTGTATTAGCAGTTGTACCCATTTCTGATTTGGCCTCAAGTTTCTGCGGAGAACATATATTGTCAAAACAATGTGTTCTTACCAGTGAAGGGCATATTGTGTAGTTTGCCATTATTTTCACATACACTGTAGAGCAGTTTACAGTGCATGTACACAAACTCAGCTATTAGATACATCACCATTGTTATCCTACTTTGCAGTTACAAACACAAACTGGTTACTGGATTCACATACCATCATTATCATTGTATACATTAAACTGGTTCTTCTCTGTGACTTTCCCCTTAATTCCCTTGCAGTCATTTTGGTGTTTTTGAGGAGTTGGATGGTGGGTAGAGGAATAAACACATCCTGAAGTACCTGCTGTGCTAGATGATTTGTATTGCTGCAAAGGTGGAGAACCTACATGTAAAGCAGATTCAAGATGAAATGAGAATGATCTTTATCATACAGTACTTTGTAGTCAATGTAACAAATTATTTTAAATTATTTAATACACGACTTCCTAGAGGTACTGGGAGTAACATGTACCGGATTTACAAGTAAAGGGGAAGTCCTGAAGCTACACTCTAGCTTAACTAAAATGCACTTTGGTGACTGTGAAAGTTCCAATTACAAAATGTATGTACATACATGTATATTTTTCTGTAAATTTCAAGCTTTGCAATTAATCATATAGATGTACATGTGTATATGCACAACTTGCAAAGTTACAGCTGTAATGAAACTCAGTTGAGATTGTGATGCAAAAACCACACATCGAATCTGAATGGGGCATTGAATAGACCAATTTTGATACATTAAAATTCAGCCTAAAACAATAGACCTCAGCATGAGGCTCTGGGGAATAACTACAGAGTTTATGGGGCTTATTCTCTAGAGCCTCATGCTGAGGTCTACTGTGTTAGGCTGAATTTGTATACATCGAGATTGGTCTATTATATTTAGGTTTGTAGCATGTGATGTGGTTTTATCCCCCTAAACTCTATTGTACATAATTGGAGCATGTAAAAACGTAATGTGTTAGACTGTTACA